ATGAAGCAGAAGCAATGTTCTGTAGGGTAATCCTTTATCAACCATGAGAACGAGATATATTTTTTTAACTTTGAAGTAATTTAGACTCACAAGAAGTTGCAAAAAAAAAAAAAATAGTACAATGTGTTCTGTGTCCCTTCAGCCAGTTTCCTCCCATGGTGATGTCTTATAATTCAATGCAAGTCAAGATCAAAACCAGGACAGTGACTTGGCACACTGCCAACTAGATTATAGAACTTACTTGGATTTTACCATCTTTTTAAACCTGCATTCATTCATTCATTCGTGTGTGTGTGTGTGTGTGTGTGTGTGTGTGTGTGTGTGTGTAGCTCTATGCAACTTTTTTTGAATAGGTAAAGTTCAATTAAGGAATTGACTTAAACAGCAAATTGAAGGAACAAGGGATTCACTGGTACGCCGCTCTCTCGAACCGCTGCGTTGGGGGTACCAGGGGAAGCTGCTGGCCGCCTGGCCCTTCAGGAGCCATGTGCTGGGGAGGCCTTGTGCAGTGCAGGTGCCCTGGAGTGCGCAGAGCAAGCACACGGGCAGGGAACCAGGCAACAAAAGCTTTTCCTCCCGTGATCTCTCAGGCACCCTCTATCGACAAACCTCATCCTGTCACTTGGCAAAGGAAAACTATTTCTAAGGCCTAGGTCAATTTTCACAGAGCAAACGAGAAAGCTGCATTTGGAGCGGAGTCAACTGATAAGTGGGGAACACCATGGGACTTGGAGTGCCACCGGCGGTTAGTGAGTGTAGGCCAGGAACGCTGTAGCGCAGTGAGAGCCATCCCCGCCACACCCAGCAGCACCTCTGCGCCAGTCGGTCCCAGCGGGAAACAGCAGCACACTCAAATAGGACCTTTGAGAAGAGTTTCTGGACATGGCAGTGGGCAGGGCTGGGAAACCGCAGGGGGAGTGCAGCTTCCTTGGGCTGCTTATCTCCCCACCACCCCCAGCCTGAAGCAGCAGAAGGGGGCTGCTGGAACCCAGGAGAGAAGCAGGTGGGAAGAGCTGCCCGAAAGGATGATAGGAGCTGGGTGACCTTTAGCCCAGGGCGCAGCCAGCCAGAGCCCCTGAGATGGGGACTAAGTGCCTCAGCCTCATGCTCTCCCCTCTGTCCTGCGGGTGCCACATCCTTCATCCCACCCCAACCCCCATGTTGAGGGAACCCAGGTGGAAGCCAGAAGTATGGAGAACTGTGGGACACTCCACAGAGCCCTGCTGAGATCCAGCCTGATGGGGAAGGGGCCGAGGGCTAGGCAGCCGTGGGGCTGGCCATGTCCTGCGACTGCTCCTCTGGCCCCAACTTGGGCCCAGTCAGCCCTCAGAACCTGGCAGTTGGGCAGCATGTCCTCCAATAAGATCTGAGTTGGACATGGCCATGTTGGACACGGCAGGGAGGTCGTGGACGTCCAGCCTAGAGAGGTTCAGAGGCTGTCCAGGCCTTGGTGGTTGGTGGCATAGCCACTGGCATCCACTACTTCTGTAAACTCCAAGAGCCTGGAACTCCAAGAACGCAAGAGAGAAGTGGCCATGTTCATTTGATGGGGGTATCCACTCCTTGCCTGGAAACTTGCCTGTGCCTCCCTGCTTCGGGATGAAATAGGTACCCCTGAAGTATGGGCCATATGGCTCCCTGATGTAGGTCAGGGGTTGATCTTTCTGGTGCACCTTCAACACCTGCTTTTGGAGCAGTACGCTCTCAGAGCCTCCACATCACAGAAGCAGTCAGCCAGGAACTGGGGCAGCGACCTCCCCTTCTTCTGATTACCCTCCGGGGCCAATGCTCTGCCCAAGCCACAGATGCCACCGGTACCCCCATTCCAGACCAGGGCTGCCTGGTGCAGGGACTCTTAAAGCCCCCAAACCCTTCCTTCAACCTCCCTTCAATCTTCTCTTAGCTGCCTCCAATCCTGCCCTGGGCACCGCCATCCTAGCTGGTATAGTCCTAGCAGGATAAAATCTTTTAAAAAACAAACAAAAAACTTTTAAAAATTTTTAAAAAGAAATAGAATCACATAGTATGGACCCTTTGCAGACTGATTTTTTTCACTAGGCACAATACCTTTGAGATTCATTTAGGTTGCTACCTGTATCAATAGTTGATTCCTGGCTATTGCTTAATATTTATGGACAAATATACCAGAGTGTAACAATTCTCCTGCCAAAGGATGTCTGGGTTGTTTTTAATATTTTGCTATTATGAATAATGCTGCTATGAACATTCATGTACAGGGTTTAAAATTATTTTTAAGAATTGTAGTAAAATACGCATAACATAAAATTGACTAAGTCACTTTATTTTTAATTAAAAACATTTTTTTAAGATTGTATTTATTTACTCATGAAAGACACTGAGAGAAGCAGAGACACAGGCAGAGGGAGAAGCAGGCTCCCTGTGGGCAGCCCAAAGCGGGACTCGATCCCAGGACCCCGGGATCATGACCTGAGCCAAAGGCAGACGCTCTACCACTGAGCTTATCCAGGTGCCCCTTTAAGTCATTTTTAAATCTACAGTTCAATGGCACTAAGGACATTCACACTGTTGTGCAATCATTGCCACATCCGCCTCCAGAACTCTCTTCATCTGGCAAAACTGAAACTCCATACACACGAAACTCTTAACTCCCCACTCCCACCTCCAGTGCCTGGCGGCCACCATTCCACTTTATGTTCTGTGACTATGACTAGGTACCTCCTATTAGTGGAATCAGACAATATCTCTCCTCTCCTGACTGGCCTATTTCTTTTAGCCTAAGGTCCTCAAATGTCATCCCTGTTGTAGCCGGTGTCAGAACTTCCTGTGAGGGCCAAATACTTCTCCACTGTATGTAGATATCACCCTTTGTTTACCCATCCATCCATCCAGGGACATCTAGGTCGCTTCCACCTTTGACTATTGTGAATAATGCCTATGAACTTGGGCGCACAAACATGAGCTCAAGGCCCTGCTTTCAGCTCTTTGGGGCATAAACCTACAAGTGGAACTGCTGGGTCAAATGAAATTCTATTTTTGGGATCCCTGGGTGGTGCAGCGGTTTAGTGCCTGCCTTTGGCCCAGGGCACGATCCTGGAGACCCAGGATTGAATCCCACGTCGGGCTCCCTGCATGGAGCCTGCTTCTCCCTCTGCCTGTGTCTCTGCCTCTCTCTCTCTCTCTCTCTCTCTCTCTCTCTCTCTCTCTGTGACTATCATGAATAAATAAATAAAATCTTTAAAAAAAAAAAAAGAAATTCTATTTTTAATTTTGAGGGGAGGTGCCCTGCTGTCTTCCACATTTATATCTATGCTCACAAGGACAGCAGCTGGGGACAAGACCAGACGTCACCTGTCTGTCACCCAAACTGGCTAGAGCTCAAGCATGAGACACACTGGTGACGAGTAAGAAGAACGGGAACGAGGGCTGGAAACCAGGAAACAGAGGAGACACTGCCCAGGCAGGCCTTAACCAGCTGTGTCCTTGGGCAAGTCACTCCATCTTCCCCAACCTCAGCCCTAGGCACAACGACGCAGGCGCCGTGCTAACTCACTGGGTGGTTTCAAACCCCAGAAGACTGACCTCCCTGGAAGAAACAGGAATTCAGTCCGCGGATGGCCTTCAGACTGGAACCTCCTGGGTCTCCAGCTTGTCTGCCTATCCTGCAGATTTTGGGTTTGCCAGCCTCCCTAACTGCAGAGCCAATTCCTTAAAGTAAATCTTTTTATCTTTTTTAAATAACCACATGCTATTGGTTCTGTTTCTCTGGAGAACCAGAATACAGAATTTGGTTGGGTAGAAACAGGCCTCTGAGCTATTTCAAGCATTTAGGAAACCTACCCTCTCCCATACCCAGTGCCTCCTGATAGCTCTACACAGGTTAATTAAAAACTGTTAGAGGTCTTATGTTTTCCACTGCTGTTCACAGTTTTTACTCTGGCTTCGGCTATGTCACTAACTGGCTGCGCTGTGGAGGCTTTAGGTTAAAGGCACAGCCTTGGGGGGATCCCTGGGTGGCTCAGCAGTTGAGCGCCTGCCTTCGGCCTGCAGATCAAGTCCCACATGGGGCTCCCTGCGTGGAGCCTGCTTCTCCCTCTGCCTGTGTCTCTGTCTCTCTCTGTGTGTTGTCTCTCATGAATGAATAAATAAAATCTTAAAAAAAAAATAAAGGCACAGCCTTTGGAGAGTCCAACTCTGGGTACCGTCCTCTAGCAGCTGTGCGACTTCGAGCAAATGACTTCACCTCTCTGAGTACTCCTCCTCATTCGTAAACTGGGTATGACAACTACCTCGGGAATACAAGCGTCATGATTTCATCGTCCTGAGAGCTTAGAAAATGTACGCAGAGCCATCAGCGGCGGTGCAGCGGGAGCTAAGATGGGCAGCACGTCTTCCAGAACACGCTGTTTGAAGGAGGGGGAAGTGTCGAGGTGCTGGGCCCACATCGGGAGTCCCGTGACACCGCAAATAAACCTCAACGCGTGATTTCCCACGAATCTCCAGCTGGGACCCAGGCAGAGCTCCATCGCACGGCCCCGGCAGCAGGTGACGCCCCGCCCCTCCGCTCATCTGCCCCGCCCCCTCTCATCTGCCCCGCCCCTCACCTGCCCCGCCCTGGTCCCGCCCCTTCCGCTCATCTGTCCCTCCCCGGCCCCGCCCCTCCGCTCATCTGCCCCGCCCTGTCCCCGCCCCCTCCGCTCATCTGTCCCTCCCGGCCCCGCCCCTCCGCTCATCTGCCCCGCCCCCGCCCCTCACCTGCCCTGGCCCCGCCCCCTCCGCTCATCTGCCCCGCCCTGGCCCCGCCCCCTCCGCCCATCTGTCCCTCCCCGGCCCCGCCCCTCCGCTCATCTGTCCCTCCCGGCCCCGCCCCTCCGCTCATCTGCCCCGCCCCTCACCTGCCCTGGCCCCGCCCCCTCCGCTCATCTGCCCCGCCCCGGCCCCGCCCCCTCCGCTCCTCAGCCGCTGGCCCCGCCCCTCGTCGCCCCCGCCCCTCGTCGGCCCCGCCCCGCCCCGCCGCTCACCTGGATCTCCTGACAGGCCGCCGCCGCCCGCCGGCCCTCCGCCTGCTTCTCCTCGATGAGGCCCAGGCCCAACCCGAAGGCCAGAAAGACGGCCCGGCCGCAAGGGCCCGCGCCACCCCGGGCCCGCACCGCGAACTGCCGCTGGAGTCGCGCCGCCAGCCCGGCCACCGACTGGCGGAAGAAGCGGTAGCGGTCGGGGAGCCCGAGCCCCAGCCTGCGCCGCTCCGCGCCGGGTCCCGCGGCCTGGCCCGGGCGTTCTCCGCGGCCCCAGCCCGCCGCGGGGCCCGGCCGCTCGGGCCGCCCCCAGCCGCAGGCCGGGCCGGGCTTGGCCGTGAAGCGCAGCAGCAGCGCTCGGCCCAGCTGCAGGCCGCGGCCCAGCGCCTGTCGCACCGCCATGGCGGCCCCGCCACCCGGCTACTCCGCGCCAGCCGCCTCCGGCCTCCGGGACGCCCGGCCCCGCAACAAACTTCGGGGGCGGTGCCTCTGCGCAGGCGCGGGCGCCGGGGGGCGGGGGGCGGGGAGCGGGGCCGCGGCGCGGGCGGTTCCCCGGCTGGGCGCGAGGGGGCGCCGTGCGCGCACCTGCGCGGCGGGGAGCGCGCTCGCCCCGGGGCGCTTTGCACCCGGCGGGGAGGGGGCTTGAGTGCTCAGAACGTCGTTTCAGAGATTTGTCCCGCAGGAGTGACCTTGGGAGCCTGCTTAGTTTAAATTAGCTGTGGCCTCCGGGTCGGCACCAGTCCTTCTGGGGGCGCCTGGGGGACTCAGTTAAGTGGCTGCCTTTGGCTCAGGTCATGATCTCAGGGTCCCGGGTTGGAGCCCCACATTAGGCTCCCTGCTCAGGGGGGAACCTGCTTCTCCCTCTCCCGTTGCTCCTCCCGCCGTGCTTGTGCTCTCTCTCTCAAATAAAATCTTAAAAAATAATAAATAAATAAATAAATAAATAAATAAATAAATAAATAAATAAATAAATAAATAAATAAATAAATAAAATTTAAAAAAATCTTAAAAAACAAAAGGAAGGAAGGAAGGGAGGAGGGGAGGGAAAGAAAGAAAAGAGAAAAGAAAAAAGAAAGAAGAGAAAGGAAAAAAAAAAGAAAAGAAAAAGAGAAAAAAGAAAAGAAAAAAGAAAGAGCCATTTCTGGTCTGACATCAAGAGCTATAAATCTTGCTTTACATCCCCTTTGGCTCCAGGCTCGGCTGGCCCCCCAGAATGAAAACCAGGAGGGGAGGCAAACACACCTAGCGCAAGCTCCTTGAAGATGGAAAGACATGATAACATAGAAATGCAGCTCTCTCCAAACTGCATGTAGTCAAACGATGTTTAAATTCAGACCCCATCATTGGCCCTGTAAATACGGCCCTTATGGGGATGGTCAGTTGGAAGTCTTACTTGTGCTCTGCCCCGGTCTCTGGCTGTCTCCATCAGGCTTCCCCAGCTAATGAGGCTGGATGTTGTAAGTACCCGGTGTCATGTAACTTTGCCTCATTCTCCTTTACTGTGCTTATAATTACCCTGATCTATGTATACAGTGCTTTGCTTTTCCCTTTCCATTTCTGTTTCTACTAGGTTTTTTTTTTTAAGATTTTATCTATTTATTCATGAGAGACACACAGAGAGAGAGAGAGAGGCAGAGACACAGGCAGAGGGAGAAGCAGGCTCCATGCAGGGAGCCCAACGTGGGACTCGATCCGGGATCCCCAGGATCACATCCCGGGCTTCAGGTGGCTCTAAACCGCTGCGCCACCAGGGCTGCCCTCTACTAGGTTTTTATAATAGCAATAACGTTTTCCTTTCTTGAAACTGAAACTATGACTATCCATGAATTCCTTTTTCAAAACACCCACCTCAGCCCTCATGTAGGCTCCTCTCTACAAGCTCACAGTCCTCTTCCCTTCTTACCACACCCCCCAAGAGAAATCTCACCCAAAGTCCAAGTTTTTCCGATGCCTCAAGACCTGGAGCAACTTGCCCAAAGTCACACTGCCTGTTAGTAGCAGAGCCCTGTACCCAAGCCCACTGTTAGGAATGGCTGATAAAGGGATTTGTACTGAGTGATTTCTTTTTTTTTTTCCTTTCCTTTTCTTGACTTTGTTTAAATTTTTTTTAATTTTATTTGTTTATTTTAAATATTTTATTTATTTATTCATGAGATACACGAAGAGGGGCAGAGACATAGGCAGAGGGAGAAGCAGGCTCCCTGAGGAGCCTGATGCAGGACTTGATCCCAGGGTCCTGGGATCACAGCCTGAGCCAAGGGCAGAGGCTCAACCACTGAGCCACCCAGACGTCCCTTATTTATTTATTTCAGAAAGAGAGAGAGAGAGAGCACACAAGGAGGGAAGGGGCAGGGGGAAGGCAGGTTTCCCACTGAGCAGGGAGCCGCCCATGGGGCTCTATCCCAGGATCCTGAGATCATGACCCGAGCTGAAAGTTAATGTTCAACTGACTGAGCCACCTTGACTTTGTTTTTAATGGAAAATTTCAAACATACACAAAAAATAGAATAATAATATAGTGAACCCCAAATACCCATTATCCAGCTTCAGCAACTACTGACAAATAGCCATTATATTATTCATTTATACCTTCCTACTAACCCTCTCCCCCATTACTTTCAAGGAAATCCCAGACATTACAGTTAATTTATAAATACTTTAGTATCTATCGCAAAGAGATAAGAATTCTTAAATGCAAAATTAATATTGTGAAAATGTCAATGTTACCCAGGGCTATTTACACGTTCAACATGCAATCCTAACAAAATACCATGGACTCTTCTTCAGAGACTAGAACAAATTAATTTAAGATTTTTGTGGAACAGAAAAGACCCGAATATCCAGGGGAAAATTTTAAAAAAGGAAAACCATATCTGGGGGCAACACACTGCCAGATTTCATGTTGTACTACAAATCTGTGGTACATCAAGACAGTGTGGTAATGGCACAAAAACAGACACAAAGAACCAATGGAACAGAATAGAGAACCCAGAAATGGACCCTGAACATTTATGTCAACTAATATTCACAAAGGAGGAAAACGATCCACTGGAAGAAGACAGTCTCTTCAATAAATGTGCTGGGAAAATTGGTCATCCCACATGCAGAAGAATGAAACAAGACCACTCTCCATGCACCATACACAAAGATAAACTCAAAATGGATGAAAGATTAATGTGAGACAAGACTCCATCAAAACCTAGAGGAGAACACAGGCAACACCATTTTTTGAACTTGTCCACAGTAACTTCTTGCAAGATACATCACACAAGCAAATAAGTAAACAAAAGCAAAATTATCTATTGGACTTCATCAAGAAAAAAGGAAGCTTTTGCACAGCAAATGATACAGTCCAACAAACTCAAAGACAACCTACAGAAATGGAGAGATATTTGCAAATGACCGTATCAGATCAAGGGCTAGTTTTCCAAGATCTATAAAGAACTTCTTAAACTCCACACCAAAAAACACACAATCCAATTCATGAAATGGGCAAAAGACATGAAAGAGAAATCTAAGAGGAAGACATAGACAATGGCCAACATGCACATAGAATATGCTCTTATCACTTGCCATCAGGGAAATACAAATCAAAGCCACAATGGAGATACCACCTCACACAGTGAGAAAGGGAAAATTAACAGGCAGGAAACAACAAATGTTGAGAGGATGCGGGAAAGGTAACCCTCTTACACTGTTTGGTGGGAAATGTGAACTGGGGCACACTCTGGACAACTGTGTGAGGTTCCTCAAAAGTTAAAAATAGACCTTCCCTACGACCCAGCAATTGCACTGTTGGGGATTTAACCACCAAAGAGAATCAGATGCAATGAAACGCCGGGACACCTGCACCCCGATGTTTCTAAGCAGCCATGTCCAAAATAGCCAAACTGTGGAAGGAGCCTCGTGCCCCTCCGAACGATGATGGATAAAGGAGATTGTTGGTCTATGTATAACAATGGAATATTCCTCAGCCATTAGAAACACAAAATACCCACCATTTGCTTCAACGTGGATGGAACTTGAGGATATAAATGCTGAGATGAAGTAAATCAATCGGAGAAGGACAAACAGTGTATGGTTCTCATTCATTTGGGGAATATGAATAATAGTGAAGGGGAAATATAAGGGAAGGAGAAGAAATGTGTGGGAGAAATCATAAAGGGAGACAGAACATAAAGACTTCTAACCACTGGAAATGAACTAGGGTGGTGGAAGGGAGGAGGGCGGGGGTGGGGTGAATGGGTGACGGGCACGAGGGGACACTTACGGATGCAACCTGGGTGATATTCTGTATGTTTGGTAAATTGAAAACCAATAAAAATTAATTTATTAAAAAAAAAGAAATTCTTAAAAAAAAAACCCATAAAACCATGATTACCATCTCTAGAAAGAGTAACATTAACTCTGTAATATCATTTACTATCCAGTTGATATTCAGATTTCCCCATCATTGTATTTTGCTTTACAGTTATTCAGATTGGGATCCAAACAAGGTCTACATAATTTATTTGGGTCAGTGAGTTACTGTTGAATAAGAAATACATCCCTCAGGATGTAGATTTTGTGGTACTGTCAGTTTAAAGGTCCGTATAATCCCTGGGTAGCTCAGCGGTTTGGCGCCTGCCTTTGGCCCAGGGCGCGATCCTGGAGTCCCGGGATCGAATCCCACAGTCGGGCTCCCGGTGCATGGAGCCTGCTTCTCCCTCTGCCTGTGTCTCTGCCTCTCTCTCTCTGTGTGTGACTATCATAAATAAATAAAAATTAAAAAAAAAAGTACAGCTACATGCAACAGCATGCATATATTTTATAAATATACTGATCAGTAAGGAAAGCAAACATAAAAAAGGAATAAATATTCTGATTCCATCTGCAGAAAGTTCAGAGGCAGGTGAAACTAATCTATAGCGTTAAAGGTCAGGAGAGCAGTTGCCCTTGGGAGGTAGTTACTAGAAGTGGACTCAAGGAGGCTTTTGGGGCCTGGTGACATTCTCTTCCTTGACCCGGGTATGTTCATTTGATGAAAATTCATCTAGATGTACCCTCTGGCTTATGCAGTTTTCTGTGTGTCATATCTCAATAAACATTTTACATAAAAATCTTTTTAACGTAATGAAAGCTTTTTTGAAAAGTTCTAACTCATTTATGGTCTCAGATTTTTAAAAAATGAACTTATTTTGAATAGTGCATGAAAGTTCGCAAAGTTTACTCAACTGTCTTTGAACTTAGTGGTTTCCAACAGCAGATACATTTTAATAATGAGCTTCTCTGTATCATAAACCTGGAGTTGAACTTTGCAGTAGTGTGCAGTGCACAGCTGAGTCAGCCTATTTCTGAACCATATATAGAGGATGAGACTTAGCATTTTTTATGGCCCACTGACATTAGGGAGCATCTTCACTTCCATTCTCCTGATGTTGGTGTGGCAGGAGAGGCAGGACACCAAGAGAGAGCAAGGAA